TAAAAACGTCTTTTGATTTTGTTTTGACAGGCATTCGTTTTCAAATTGAATAGCGATAAAATATTGTGAAAGATGCGGAATTTAGCTTTTCTATGGTACAGATATTATTTTTAACTCAGGTTTAATAGAAATCGCAAAAACTAGTGATATAAAGTATATGCAAGCGTGTTTGACAGTGTCTTCGATATCCGGTTACCAACAATTTTTTATAAGTAAGTATCATATGTATGGGAACAAATAGCCGGCCAGAATAGCTCAATCGGTTAGAGCAAGATACTTGTAATGTCGTCATTTGGGTTCGAACTCCGGGCTGGCCAGCTAAAAGTACTAATCAGTCTTTCGGATGAGACTTTAAATCGAGGTCCCGTGCATGAGTTCTTAAACTCTTGGCACGTTAAAGAACCAGGAGAAGCTTTTGGAAATTGGCCATTTTTCTGTATGTATTTTGCACTATTCTCCAAAATATAAAATGACTGATACTCTTCTGGATGACTCGCCCAACCGGTGGCGAGTATGAATAAATTCAAATACACACAAAGAGAACAAATACGAATGAAGATGTGCAGACACTATTTGACCCTTCCACAATTTCTTTTTTATATTTCATTTCAAGATTACACTTGGTTTCATGGCGATGGACTGACATACACTTAGTGGTGTACGTGGCTCTATAAATTTCATTAAAGTAGAGAATTTCTGTTAACAAATATTTTAATTCTGTGTAGGATATCACTACTAACAGTGATGATTTAATATTTTATGATATAACGAATTGACAAGCTCATCTATGGTGTAACCATGGGTAACATGTTTCTTGTAAGATATGTATCATAAGGCGTATTAGTTCCATAAGACATGAACGTCAATTCGGTAGGTAGTTGGACTTTCGAATAACCAACTACCTACTAGCTGGTACTTGGTTTTTCGTAATATATTTTATTTTAAAGAGTCTTCTTTAATTAAGGTCATTCAGTGCCACATAATTTAACTGATCAGGGAAAACTAATGATGCATGTTGTTTGTGCAAAATAAGGCGAACATTATTTTGAAATGTTTATTTTTTTCCGGATAAAGCATATTTCGTATACATATATATTACGAAATAAAAATATTTAGACGCGTGTTTAAAACATGATTGCTTATATTCTTATATCCTGATATTCTAACTGAGCAAGTCATGAATGTTGTTATCAAATTACGTTTACATGTTTAATGCTAAGAAACTGTGACCGATATAACACATTTACACTACAGAAGTATGTATAGTAACAATACAAATGCAAAATAATATGAAACGAACAACAACATTATACTAACAATTATAATTACACAATGATTCATATCTTAAAATCGTACTTAACCATAATGTGTATTAATGCAAACGTATAAGAGTCAAAACCATTATAAGCTTTAGCCAAAAATGTAAATCGTGGTGTAAACTTATTGACAATTATAGAGGTCATATAAACAAAGCTTCATTTAAGATAATAACATGATCTACATGTATTTATGGATATCTTAAAAGCCTACCACACACACGCGCGCGCGCGCACACACACACACACACACACACACACACACACACATTCTTAAAAAACTTAGTAGTGTGCTGTACCTTTCTTGGTGAAGGTCATATTTCAGCACGTCATATGATCTAATGTTCAAAACCAAAGGCAATAACATAAATTATAAATGTGACATCACACACAAAAGTATTACTTCAAAGGTATGACGTAAGGATCTGCAGTGTCAGTGCAACAATTTAGATCTGAACATGCAACATATAATAATTTTACAAAAAAATATTATGAAATAAAAGACAGGTGCATGTATGTGTAAAAAGAAAAACGAATAAAGCATTTGTCACTCAAATATGTACATTAAGTGAGATATTTTAAACTTATTTAAGATGGCGTTATGGTTCTGTTACTGTACATTCCCTCTCAGTCTTATCTATTTATTGGAATTTACTATTTTACTAGAATTTCTCTAATATCTTAGGTGTTATCCTTTGGACAAGGGCAAAACAGACTGTTAAGCTTTGCATTATAAGTGTGACTTTGTATGGTATGGTATTGCACTTAAAAAATTCCCTCTATCAGACAATATTGACTTTTAAGCTCGAAGTATAGTCTTGGCCTTGGAGATATAGGTCTGGTTGTTTTGCACAGCATGTTGTCTTATTATGGTAAGCATTTCTGCTAAGTTGTTTCAAAATATCTTCATGAATGGCTAAGTTGTAGACAGAGCAAAAAATGTGACGGATGGACAGATGAACGAAGAGGCGGACAGTCGGAGCTATTTTTAAAAAAAATAATATAAAGGGTACACCCCTCTCGAAGTAGGTCACCAGTGGTTTGCTGATATCAGTGTTTAATTGTATATCCGAAACTGTGCACTTTATTTTTTTTCTCAAATTTCATAGCTTCATATCATATAACAAACAAGTGTTTACCATTGACCCTTAAAGGCCATAATTCAGTAGTTTTTTGTAGCTTTGGAGTGCGGCCAATTTTGACCCCAGAGCAATAATTTCAATAATCTTGGTAAATGTCCACTAGGAAATGCTATAACAAATCTATGCTCTAGGCTTTGTGATTACAAAGAATTTCCTTTAAAGTTTCTCCCTATCATTTCTTTTGGTTGCTATTAAAACAAGATGTCTGCAGAAAATAAAATTCGTTTAACAACTTTGAAAGCCATTAACTCAAGGAACAATACTGGCAAATTTGGATGAAATCGAGATCGTGTATTTAAGAAATATTTTTTTAAATTATCTATAACACACACACGCACGCACACGTAAATCGCTATTTGCCACCGCATCGCAAAAAATTAGCAAGGTTCAAGTTTTCAATATTTGTTCCCTAAAAAATTATTAAACTTCAACTGGTAATGATAATGATTTTTTTTTACTTAAATACATTTCGCAAGAAAAAGTCATTAATTATTATAATACAAGATTTTCATAATATTTTAAACCTAAGATTGCAAAAATAAAACAAAACAAACCATGTTTATTCGTTTTTCTAGTGCATGTCGTGTTAATATATTTAATAAACCAGTTCTAAAATCTGGATAAAGTGTGATCCCATGGATCTTTTACCAAAAATAAAAACACTTTTACAAGGTCACAGTTGGTTTGCTTTAAGTACTTTTTACACTTGACTTTAATGTAAATTAGAAATGTGACGTCACGCCACGACTAGCCCCGCTTCAAATGTTATAGTAATATTTAATTCAATATTTCTTTGCACAAAACCCTTTAACTATTCAATGCACACACACACACACACACACACACACACACACACGCACACGCGCACGCGCGCACACGCACACACACGCACACTATTTTCAAACAAAGTTCAAGGCCCTGACATTATTCAGTAATGCATATTTGTAGCCAAGATATTGATTAGAAAATGTTATTTAAAAAAATATTTTCCAGGTTCAACTGTCAACAAACATCTGATCATGATCAAATTAGAACTTGACTTGTAATTTTTAGTAAAATACCAGCACATGCAATGTAAACCTCGGACATACATTTTTTTCACAAAAGCAAGAGTGCGGAAACTGAAAAATTCTTATTTTTTCCAATATTCAAGAGAGAAAACTCTTCAAACTTGACTTTCGCATTTATTTGAAATATCCGTATGAAGAGAATTGTGCAAACAATATTGTTGTGCCCGCATATGTTTTGAATTATTGATGTACCACCGCGTCAGCATTGAGTGAATACAGCTCAGCCATAGAAAGATAGGCTCGCAATACAATTAATATTGGAATTAATTCTTTCCAGGTAAAATGATCCATTTGTTCGAAATTGACAACTGGATATACCTTTGGGGCTGGAATTGCTAGTTGCCTAGCTGATCTTTTAACAGCCTGTTGTACTTCCTTACATCGGAAAATTGAACCGACACTATATTTAACGTGGTCTGAGAGCAAGTCAGCTTTTGTTAGAACTACCATTACAGGGATATCTGAAAAAGATTAAGAGCAATATCGAAAAATCAAGTTCTATACTTTGCAACGTAAATCAAGTTAATAAAATAATTTAATATTAATCTTTCAGTCAAGAATAACGATAAGAAAAGATAATACGGAAATTAAATGATCAAAATATTATGATGCTTTATGTAGTGGATTATAGTTCTTGGCAACGGATGAACAGCATAAAAATGATATCGAATGTCACTTTAGAATTCTTGAAAGTAAAAATTCCGCAGCAGAACAATCATTGTTAGACGTAACATGCACACAAAACCGTCACATTAACTGTACACATAGTTGTTTAATCAATGTCTCTGTAATTATCTCGTATCCTGTAATTTCAACTTTTCGTAGATAAACATCAACCGCTATACTGCATTTGATTGTTCATGTCCATTAATCAAACGATAAATTGTTATTTATAATCTTTTCGATTATAACCCTTTTTGCATTATAACAAATGTTTCAAGATTTTTAAAGATGATTTTTGTATGTTGATGACTCAATTTCTTGAAATGCACATTTAAAAAGTGAAAACATACTCATTGAATGTATTTTGTCCATGATTTTGTTTATGTTGTTTTTAAAGCTCTGATGAATCTCATACGTCTCTCTACAATCAAAGGCAATTATTGCACAATGAACTTGATCCGAAAGTTTAGGGGATTCTTCATAGTACTCGTCCTCAGAAGATATACTTTTCTCAAAATTAAACTGCATGTCATGAAATAAAAGAAAATGAGTTTAACTAAATAAAATGGTAAAATTGCTTGGTGAAAAGGTTGGTACAGTTGTTGACATATATGACCAACTTCTCATTTGCAAACATATATTGTAAACTAAATTTCTAAGCTATTGAGCTTAAATGTAAGGGTATGTTCTTAAGGATTACTTTTTTTTTATAAACGATAATGATAAAAATGAAACACAACACGGAAAAAAGAGAAGAAAACAGAAACAATAAAACATACCCCCCCCCCCAAAAAAAAACCCCGATCAACTTATCGTTTTATCCAATACATAAGAGTTGAACTGACCGTATATCCACTTTTGATACGTCCTTCAAGAATTAACTTGATATCTTCTAGAAATGGTTCTATATCCTCTGATACTGGAAGCCCAGAAATATCCCCAAAAACGCATTGCTCTAATTCACCAGGGATCTGAAAATGTCTGTACTGAAATAAAAAACTTTTCTTATAGTATCAAATATTTAACGTTATCACTGCATTTTAAATAATTTATTCTGAATTTGTGCCTAAAGATAATTAACAAGTATGTATTTTTTAACAAATTGACAAGATGCAGCCAGGCGGAGAAGTTATTCTTGATCATAAAGTGAACAACAGAAGCTTACTAGAATAAAACGAATAAATCGAGGAATTATTAGTCCTTCCGTACGCCGATTGGTATGAATGTTCATCCATGTAACCATCACAGACTAAACTTGGTACAAAATGTTTGAGGTTGTGAACTATTGTTGCTTATCAAACCTGGACTTTCAAAATATGCCAACACCACTTTGAAGACTAAACATAAACTAGTAATCCGAGCTATAATAATAATTTCAACAGTATATATTTTTGGAATATCAGTAAAAACTCACACGCGTTGTAACATTTCTTTCCAACGTAGCAGAATTACAAACAGTCGTTTTTCTACCAGCACTTACTGAAGCAAATGTGTTTATCAACGCAGATTTCCCGTGTCCATGACTGCCAATTATCAGAGCTTTAAAATGTTTTAGACCAGACTTTTCTGTTGGTACGATAGCTTTAATCTCTCTTTGAAGATTCTGTGCTGTCTAATAGAACATAATCAGTTATAAACGTTGCTGATGAGATATAACAAGGAGAATAACTTGATTGAAATATACATGACTCTTAACACTCATCTAAAATATTTTAAATGAAGTAGCAAAAGGTTTGTACATTTTGTATTATGAAACGCTTATTCCATTATTCCATTAAAACGATTGAGAAGAAAAATGCACAATTGTACAGTTATATAGTTATGACATATCTCCAGCTTTATTCCAGCCATCATTGCATATAAATTTTTTTTATCATCTGCTTTATTAGCTTTATAAACAGCTTTAACAATCAAACAGTGTTTTTCTCGTCAAAGGAACACATATTGTACGACCTCTTGTATTTACAGTATGTGAGAAGTTAACAGTGAACAGTGAGCTAAGCAAAAAGACATTTCAAGTTATATAGGGAAATCAATGATCTGATGTAATACTCAGCTGTCTTGGGCATCTAGCAGGGCATTCCTAAATATAGTGAAAAAATGCTCTGCTGAAATGCTTAGCTGGGTTAGCAATCTAGCAGGGCATATCAAGGTTTTACGCTAATTGTACTACTATTGTCTTTATCTATAGTTATGAAAATAACATCAAGTACATATATTGAATGTAAGAGAAAAAGCACGAAGTCTAACGTGTACACTGTTTTAAAAAGTTCAAAACTTATTTCTTTTTAGATAAACAAAACACAGCCAGGTGTCTGTCTTGTAAAAAAGATGGGTTATACCTTCTTTTGTTTTTCTTTGTTATTTTTCTTTTTGTTTCACCATAACTTAACGTGTGATATAATCAAGGAAAATATGCTTTAAAATGATCTGTATGACTTTAATACAAACACAACATCTTAAATGTTTAGTGTAACTAAAGGTTATTGTATTCACAGCTAAAAAGTAGTATAGCACGATCATTTATCTTCCTTAAAATATTTTGTAATGCGTATTATGTCACTGTTGTAGACAATAAATATTGTCTCTAACATTTTTGTTCGCAACTCTAGTCTTTCAATTTCTATTCGAAATATTTAAGTTATTTCATTACGAAGTCAAATGCCTCACGCACATAAAGCATGTTGGTATAATCAGACTAGCAATTTGTTATCTAAAGTCGGTGAAAATAAAAAAAAAATAAAAGAATGTAGACATGATGTGTCTAATATGGTTATACATCGTTTTCGTTCTATATTTCTCTATGTTTTAAATATGTATAAATAAGACTACATATAATAAAGAATATATATCATTGTTTTCAGAAGTGTACAATTTTTTACTCAATAAAATAATACAGTAGAAACAATTTTCTGTAGTGATATATTTTGTAAATACTGTTATTCTTTTAAATAAACAAAAGTTGAATGTGTTTTGTGACGATGGATGATGGCAATAGTTCACTGCAAAGATCTGATTCACAGTGTCAAAACTATTCTACATAATTTGTAATGAATATAAGTTGAATGAATTTACTAACTTAAAAATAATATACTGATTTATAGTTACTTGGTAAAATATTTAAAGACATTCCATACAGCTAACTCACTCCCTTCCATTGTGCTGAAAACGCCAAGTTGCAAACAAGATATTTATTTTGCATATAAATCTAGATGTAAATAATGAAAATATAAATGTTTACTTTTCACTGATTTGATTCTTCTGAAAAAAAAAATGATTGTAATATATTGGACATTTTTATCCTTACTTGGACTTTTGCGAGGGCGAGGTTTATTAGCATTATAACTCTTAACCCAAGCTGAAAAAAAGAGAAAGTTCCAAAAGAATTGTTAATCAATATTTTTTCCATTTTCCTTCATAATTGAAGTTTTAATTGTGCATAAAAAGGTAACCCATATTCGAATAAGATAACATCCTAAGTATACCTGTATAATCAATTAGCAGCTACGAATATGTTGATCGATCTACGCTCAAATTAATGATTTCATTTTTTATTTTTTTCGAAACTTTTTCTTTTTATACGCCGTGCGTATTGGCGTACCGGTAGGTACACCACTGACTACGTAATGGAACTTTATATTTAAAAAAACATAGTGTAAAAATGCTATGCTGGTATGCTCGCCTGGCTAAGCAATCTAGCGGGGCATTCCAAAATATAGTGAAAAAATGCTCTGCTGGAATGCTAAGCTGGATAAGCAATCCAGCAGGGATTTTCTAAATATAGCGTAAAATTGCTCTGCTGTAATACTCAACAGTCTTTGCAATCTAGCAGGGCATTCCTAAATTTAGTGTAAAAATGCGCTGCTGGAATGCTCAGCTGACTTTGCAATATAGCAGGGCATTCCTAAATATAATGTAAAATTGTTCTGTTGTAATACTCAGCTGTCTTGGCAAGGTAGCAGGACATTCCTAAATAAAGCGAAAAAATGCTCTGCTTGTATGCCCAGCTGTGTTTTCATTCTAACAAGGCAATTCTAAATATAGTGTAAAAATGCGCTGCTGGAATGCTCAGCTGTAATACTCAGCTGTCTTGTCAATCTAGCAAGGTAATCCTAAATATAGTGAAAAGTATTCTCTGCTGGAATGCTAAGCTGGCTAGGCAATGTAGCAGGACATTCCTAGATATAGCGTAAAATTACTCTGCTGACATTTTCGACTTCTAGGCACTTCTGAGGAAATCGCAGACTTTCAGAAATTTTTGGTGCCAATAGAAATTATATTTTTTTTACTTCTTGGGACCTTAAAGAGTCTATTCCAATATCCTGCGACTTTTTCATGTACAATCTCAGACTTTCAGGAATTTTCGTGCCAATGCAGATATTGACAATTTTGACTTCTAACGACCATCAAGAGTACATTTTGTTGGTATGCGACTGAATCGTTGACACTCGCAGATTTTCAGGAATGTATTTAGCCATTGGAAAAAATGATATTTTTGACTTCTAGGGACCTTAAAAAGAGTCCTTTTCATTGACCTGCGGATTATTGTTGGGCACTCGCAGACTTTCAGGAATGTTTTGTGCCAATAGAGATGGTGGCATTTTGTACTTCTAGGGACCCGCCAGAATCCATTTTTCTGGTCTGCGACTGATTCTGGGACACTCGCAGATTTTCAGAAATCTGTGGTGCCAATGGAGTTTATGGCATTTTTGACTTCTAGCGACCCAACAAAGTTCATTTTGCTGGTCTGCGACTGATTTTGGGACAACTGCAGACTTGTCATTATCCGCATAAGCACCGACCATTCCTGAAAATCAGTAAATGCCCAATAATCAGTCGCAGATTATATATATTATATATATATTATAACAAAATGGACTCTGGATGATCAAAAGTTGTCAAAAACGTTATTATCCCTATTGGCACCAAAAATCCTGAAAGTCTGTGAGTGACTCAGAATCAGTCGCAGACCAATGAAATAGAATCAGGAGGGTCTTTTAAAGAAAAATGTCAATATCTTCATTGGCACCAAAAATTTCTGAAAGTTTGCCAGTGTTCCAGAATTATTTGCAGACCGACGAAATGGATTTTGAATGGGCCTTAGAGTGAAAAAGTGTCATTATCTGCATTAACACCACAAATTCCCGAAAGTCTGTTATTGTCCCAGAATCAAACGCACACCAAAGAAATAGACACTTGAGGGTCCCGCAGAACTCAAAAATGTCATTTTCTGCATTGGCAATAAATAATTTTAGAAAGTCCACGAGTGCAAAATTATCAGTTGCAGACCAAAGAAATGGATTCCTTAGGGTTACTAGAACCCAAAATAGGCTATCAATCCATTTGTTCCAAAATCCTGAAAGTCTTCGAGGATGTCAGTCACAGCCGCAGACGAAGCCCAGTAAAATAGATCTCGCAACAAAAACAACATTTTAGGGACATTAGGATTACAAGAGGATGCATAAGGAGAAAAAGAGGAAGACCATTTACTCCATTAAGAATACCCTGCTTGATTGCTCTGCCAGCTCGGCATTTCAGTAGAACAATTTTATACTTTATCTAAGAATGCCCTGCAGGTTTTCCTAGACAGGTCAACATTCCAGCACAACATTTTTACACTATATTTCAGAATGCTCTGCTCGATTGCCTAGCCAGCTGAATATTTTTAACACTATATTTATGAATGCCCTGCTAAATTGCCTAGCCATCTAGGCAATTCAGCAGAGCATTTAACACTTTATTTGGAATGCCCAGCTAGGTTGATTAGCAAGCTGAGCATAACAGCAGAGCATTTTTTTACACTAAATTTAGGAATGCCCTGTTAGATTGCTTAGCCAGTTGAGCATACCAGCAGATCATTTTTACACTATATTTAGGAATGCCCTGCTAGATTGCTTAGCAAGCTGAGCATACCAGCAGAGCATGTTAACGCTATATTTTGGAATGCCCCGCTAGATTGCTTAGGCAGCTGAGCATACCAGCAGAGCAGTTTTACACTATATTTTGAAATGCCCCGCTAGATTGCTTAGCCAGCTGAGCGTACCAGCAGAGCTTTTTTCACTATATTTTATATATTATATGCCCCGCTAGATTGCTTACCCAACTGAGCATAACAGCAGATCATTTATTTCCCAATATAAAGTGTAATGCCTTTTTGCTGAGCTCACTGTTAACTGGTAACTTCTCAAATACGTATTTACAATGATGTATTCTTGACGTACAATGTACAGTTATTTATAGAACTGTTGCATTGGTTTAGTACTAAATACATATAAGAAGTTCATTAATGTAATGAGTCAATAACCAATCTTATAAGAGTTCAAAAATTACAAAATTATTTTAATACTTCTATTTTCCATCTGAAGTTCTCATCAGGCTCTCTCCAGGCAGTCCTTGGCAAACCTGGAATAATTTTATTTTAATTTAACATATCTGGTAAACTATGAAGCAATGTGAACATCATTTTAAAGTTATAAGTTAAAATCATTGATAATCAAAGGTTTTGCGATACTATAATTAAAAAGTAGAGTGGATTAATATAATAGGGTTGTCGTTTATTGTTTATTGTACAGCAATATCAGATTAATGCCAGAGAGCTATGAGAGAAGAAAAAATGTACTACCTGTACCAGTAGTAGCAACATTTTATAAGAGTAATTCAGTATCAGTACAAGAGAACTACTACAGTCAATCACCATAACAAATTTGAAGTTCCTAGGCCTAAGCGTTCTTTAGTTTTTGATCGGAAACCGTTTTTACTTACAAAATCATTGTGACCTTGACCTTTGACCCCTTGACCCCAAAATCAATAGGAGTCATCTACTGGTCATGACAAATCACCATACCAAGTTTGAAAGTCCCCCCTAAGCGTTCTGCAGTAATTGATCGGAAACCGTTTTTATCTACAAGGTCTACGTGACCTTGACCTTTGACCCCTTGACCCCAAAATCAATAAGGGTCATCTACTTGTCATGACCAATCACCATACCTAGTTTGAAGTTCATAGGCCTAAGCGTTCTTTAGTTATTGATCGGAAACCGTTTTTACCTACAAGGTCAATGTGACCTTGACCTTTAACCCCTTGACCCCAAAATCAATTGGGGTCATCTACTGGTAATGACCAATCACCATACCAAGTTTTAAGTTCCTAGGCCTAAGCGTTCTTTAGTTTTAATCGAAAACCATTTTTACTTATGTGACCTTGACCTTTGACCACTTGACCCCAAAATCAAAAGGAGTCATTTACTGGTCATGGCCAATCACCATACCAAGTTTGAAGTTCCTAGGCGTAAGCGTTCTTTAGTTATTGATCGGAAACCGTTTTTACTTACAAGGTCAATGTGACCTTTGATCCCTTGACCCAAAAATCAATACGGGTCATGTACTGGTCATGATCAATCATCATACAAAGTTTGAAGTTCCTAGGCCTAAGAGTTCTTTAGTTATCACAAGGAAACCATTTGGTCTACGGACCGACGGACCAACGGACCGACGGAACGACGGACAGACAAATGCAAAGCAATAAACCTCCTCTTCTTTGAAGTCGGGCATAATAATAATTACAATAATAATAATAATAATAATAATAATAATAATAATAATAATAATAATAATAATAATAATTATAATAATAATTATAATAATCATTGTCATCATCATCATCATCCCTGTCACAAAACCACTACCAGTATCATCATCAATAATAATAATAATAATAAGATTAATAATAATAATAATAATAATAATAATAATAAAATAATAATCATCATCATCAAAATAATAATGATAATAATATAATAATAATAATAATAATAATAATAATAATAATAATAATAATAATTATGAATAAAAGTAATGATTATGTAAATTATAATCGCATCATGGAATTTTATTCTTCTTCCTTGTTTTCATCATAATTATTGTTATTATTATTATTATTAATTTTTTTATCATCATACTTATAAATAATTCGTAATCTCTTAATTAAAAGAAAGTCAAAAGGATAACTGTAAAATCATTTGAAAATGAATCAACTGAAGAAAATCCAATTGGATTTTTTTTTCAAATAATTTTTATTCGAAAAATTCCAGTTGGAATTTTTTCCAACAAAAATAATTGGAAATAAATCCAATTGGATTTTCATTTTTTTCAAAACACCTTATTGGTAATTCAGCGTATCTAATTATGTTTTTTTTTTATTGAAAACTATCATTTGCCTTTAATTATTATCGCTTTTTATACTTTTTTACCTTAAATTTTTCTGTAAAAATCCAGTCTGAATTTTTTCCAACTTTCAAAATGGGATTTTTATATTTTAGAGAATACTTTCTTCAAAACTAGTCAGAAAGTTATCATAGGATGCATTAATGGTGATTTTTATAGTTTAAGATTTGCTGGAAAAATTTAAATTCCCGTTTGAATAAATAAAAATGTTGGAAAAAATCCAATTGGAATATAAGTAAATTTCGCCCAGACTACATATTTCCGGACGGAATACATGAAACTCCGCCCGGACAAATTCTTTAAAATACAATTTTTGAGAAGAAAAAATAATAATTAGCTTTAAATGAAGTCAATTATTAATAATTAACATTAAATCTATCGGATGAAATGATTTTTAAGTGTTTAGGGCAAGTATAAATGGTAGTGAAGTTTGCCACTATCCCAGTGGTGCAAAGATTTTCCGGTGGCTGTTTACTTGCAAAGTCACTACAATTTGTACTGCTGTACCAGTACCAGTACCAGTACCAGTAATGCAGCTTTACCCATGTATGAGCGCTTTACAAGACGCTCGCTTAGTTCAATAGGGAAAATCTCGATTAAGTAATCCAGGGGTTACTTTTTCGTAAAATCGCGTAAAAGCCAATAAGCAAACACAATTTAAACGCTTTTTCCGCGGAGTGTGCCTACCCGAAACAGATTTTAACTTTTTCTAATAACTCGCATAAAGTATCATTAAGTATTTTTAATCATAACTTTCTGACATTTATACATGTATATAGAAAATTGCATAATTGTAATCATTTCGTTCTGTTAAAATCTCTTGTTTAAATGGTTCTCTAGTTATTGTGCGTGAACAGTTTTCAAATTCAAGGTCATTATAACATTGATCCCCTCTCAAAGACATAGGGATCTTCTTCTTAATTGGGTAATCATCCGCTATGGGTAAGATATTTATTTTGAAATGTCATTTACAGTCACGGGAATTGTGACTTTCTCTACGCATCGGGGCCTGAAAACAATAGTGTTTTGTAGTAATTGAGAGTAGAAGTTTAAAGGCTATTTGTCAAATTGTTCTCTAGTTAATGCACGACACTGTCACTGTGATCTTGAACTTCTAGCATCGTTGTTAAAACAATAATGGCTTTCAACTAAATGATTATTACATCATCCTTTGAATATAAAAGCGTTAGTGTATAATGGCTGTCTTTCGCCCATTGTTTTCTCGTTAGGGCACATGCATTCTTTTACTTGGGAATCATACGCCGCTTTTCATAAAATAGCACTACTGTGTCACATTGAAGGTTCCATGACAACCCCCCGTATGAATAAATCTGCGTAAGTAAATAATTTAACCATTTTCGTGTTTAAAATTTGAATTCTGCTTACGCCGATGCTAGGGGCGTGGACGGTAACTTACACTTTTCAGAAGCATCCGTGAACAGGCTCAATCAAACCGACCCTGCAACATTTTCAATATTACTGTGTTTGGCTTTCTTTAGGGATTCTGTTTTTTCTTTATTTAAATTTAGTGAAAACATTATGTCTTATTATAAATTTTTTGAAGACATATTGTTTTTGCCTTTGCCGTTGGTCAGTCCGTCTGTCCATCCGATTTTCCGTCCGTCCGCATTAAGTTTGTCCGCCCTTTACAGGTCAAACTATTGGTGGAATTTCAACCAAACTTTACAGGAATGATCAGTACCATCCCTAGTTGTGCACATCACCGGCATTTTCCGCTTTGCTGCACAAAATGGCCGCCGGAGCTAAAAATAGAACAATCTTATCCGGCCTTTACTGGTCAAACTATTGATGGGATTTCAACTAAACTATACATAAGTGATCAGTACCATCCCTAGTTGAGCACATCACTAGCACGTTCCGCTTTGCTGAATAAATTGACTGCCAGAGCTAAAAAAAAGAAAAATCTTGTTCGGCCTTCACATGTCAAACTACTGATGTGATTTCAACTAAACAGAACAATACCCAGTTGTGCACAACTAGGCAACTAGGGCACGTTCCGCTTTACTGCACAAAATGGTCACCAGAGCCAAAAATAAAAAAGAAATTGTCCGGCCTTCACAGTTCAAACTACTGATGGTATTTCAACCAACTTTACAGGAGTGATCAATACCATCCCTAGTTGTGCACATCATCGGCACGTTCCGCTTCGCTGCACAAAATGGCCACCAGAGCTAAAAATAGAAAAATCTTGTCCGCCCTTCACAAATCAAACTTCTAGTGGGATTTCATCCAAACTTTACAGGAGTGATCAGTACACTTCATAAATTTGCACATCTAGGGCACGCTCCGCTTTACTGCACAAAATGGCCACCAGAGCTTAAATAGGAAAATCTTGTCCGCCTTCAAAGGTCAAACTACTGATGAGATTTAACCAATTACTACACGAGAGATCAGTACCATCCCTAGGTGTGCACATCACCGGCACATTCCGCTTTGCTCTACAAATTGGCCACCATAGCTAAAAAAAGAAAATTTTTGTCCGGTCTTCACAGGTCAAACTACAGGTGGGATTTCAGCAGAATATTGGCACGTTCGGCTTCCCTGCACAAAATGGCCGTCAGAGCTATAAATAGAAAAATCTTGTCCGGCTATCACAGGTCAAGCAACTGGTGGGATTTTAATGAAATTTCACATGCACATGAGTGACCATATATAGTTTTGGGAGATATATGTTTTTGTGACAAAAACCCTTCTAGTATTTTTGTAATCTTTACACGAAAAACACATAACATAAATTTTACGGATTGAATAGAAAGCTTAAAATGCTTTTTTGAAAACTCTTTAAGTATTCCACATATGTTATATAAATTATTATAATACATAATAAACAGTATACAAACTACACAATGCATTTTATTTCGGCTTGTGCCTGCATACAAACTATCTATACGTTAAGCATTCTTGACCTAAATTCAAAATTTATATCTGTTAGAAATGAGGTAAAAGCTCAAATAAGAATTTTATCTTTTAAAATGATACATTGCTTGGTTTAGCATCAATAAATGTTTAGAAAAGAGATAGGAAACGAAAGAGAAAGAAAAAAGTAACTTTATTACATCGAGTCGAGATGACCTTTTTCTATTTAACACAAAATTAATGTCTATCATTATATATGAAGTTGTTTTGTTTGTTGTATATATTTATGTATATGTGAGACAATTGTTTCATTTATAGCATCCGTTAGATAATTATCGCCGTAGAGTTAAGTATTCAATGAAGCAGTAGTGATTGATTTAATTTATTTGTAAGGTCTTAATGTATGGGACAGTGCAGGAAATAGTGTTCTGTATTTTCTGATTTTCTTGGACGGAAATAAGATTATTTTAGAAAAAAAACATATAAAAACGCTCTTCTTGAAAATGCACTTTTTTGTGCCGGTAAAGAATCTGTAAAAGACGAATAAAATGTTGCTTGATATTTTATGGCATCGTTCCACAGATACTTACGGTTAACATGAATTTAAAAAGTCGGTGATAGGTTGATTTCTTGTTTGTTGAGACTTCATAACCTCTGATCCCCTTTCAAAATTCTATTTTGTTTAGTTCCGTCCATTGTTTCTCGGTTAGGGCACATGCATTCGTTTACTTGGGGACTATACGCGCTTTTCATGGAATGCACTGACGTGTCACATTGAAGGTTCCATGATAACTTCTGTATGAACATATCTGTGGATGTTTCTGAATTCCAAATTTTACCATTTCATATAAAATGTTGAATTCTGCTTAAGTCAGTGCTAGGGGGCGTGGATGGTAACATGCACTTCCCATTACCGTCCCATGAACAGGCTCAATCAAACCGAGTCTGCAACATTTTCAATTTTGTCGTTTTGTGCGTTCTTTCGGGATTCTTCATTATTTGCTATTTTGACCATAATGACCACATTTGAGTTCGAGATTTCCTAGATATACTCGTAACAACGGATGATACGTGGATGTTTAAGATTTTATTTTACACTATGATAAGGTGAACATAACAGTGCTTGAGCTTTGTTTATCGAGCATCCACCGTAAACACCAGAACTGGCGCAAAAAAATATCATATAAGTTTTTCAAAATTACTTTCAAATTGACATTAAGAATTGCAGGATAAGATAAAATTAAACAATTTACATTATTTTATTGTTTGAAAAATATATAAGCGACATTTGAAGAAAATAAATATTTTCCATACCTATACCAAAAAACTCTTTAAGTCCCATTTTTACACAAATATGCGTTCACGTTTTAAGTAAAATATGCGAAACAGAAAGATTATATTGTGTGTTACAGGTGTAGTTTAGTTATAAGGTATTGTCTGATCGACGAAACCGGGGAGACATACAATATAATGCAATTTTAACGCAGTTCATTGGATAACAAATATCATTCTACGACATGTGATAAAATATTTCTTCATCTCTTTCAATTTAATCCGTCTCGTATACATTTACATCTCGTTTATTGAAAGAAGATTTCTTAAATCTAGATAGTGTGAGCCTAACCTTGTATTCAGGTACGTAGGATTTATATTTAAGTGTATAATACTATGTATTTGAGGTATTTTGATTGCCAAAAACATTGTTTTTAAAATGATAATTATAGCTAAAATAAAATAAATATGTACGAGGGGTTATCCAAAAAGCGTGGACTTTGTAAAATTTCATATAACATGTGTTCATAAATGCATAGGTAAAAATTAGACTGCTTGGAATATCCTTGCTTCAATTAAAATTTTACAATTAAATAATCATAACCAGTTGTTTTTTAAGCAGTTATAGCAATGACTTAAATCTATGTCCTACAATGCAATTGGACAATGTAGCATGTGAATTATTCTTATTTCCTCGAAGGGAATTTGTCCGAAGTCACCGCCATTCCTTCCGTCGGTCACACTCTTGTCCGAAGAATAAATTAAAACCTATTAAATAAATCATCTGAAGTGAAAACTGCTTGTTAGAATTATAAATTTAATCTATCAATGCTATCTGATTGAAACTACACACACTTCTCCAAACTAGATAGTGAAAGTGTAGTGTCAAATAATGTTATGATTAAGCTAGACTCACCTTCGTAGAAGTAAGGCGAGGGTTGATCTTAATTTATCCGACACAAACTTCCTAAGGGTTCACACAGATTAGGAACGCAGCTACCAGCAGACAAGGTATTCATTTTCATAGAAAGTAACCTGTATGTATTTTGGAGCATTTTTTATTAGGTGGAAATGGAGGGGCGTGTGTGGCTGGGAACGAATAAGGAATTGGATGTTCGAATATTCGTTTTCCATATTAGAATATTCGTTTTTACAACATTCGTTCCAATATTTCTCTTTGACGTATACGTATCCGAAATTCATTGCGTCGAATACTATACAACTTTAATATGCTTGGAATAATCGACGATTAAAAAGACCTATTGCTGTGTCAAAGTTTTTTAATTTTATATATTGTTAATCGATATACATGTTTACTTTTTAAATAAATTCATAATTTGATTGTCTTTTGTTCAGTTAATCAGACCGCTGTCTTATTAACGGGAGGTAACTCACGTGACTTGACTGACAGTAATATGAATCATCGTAGCTTCTTATCCCCAATAACACATAATTAAATTGAAACTTAATTTGTATTAAATATTTATTTATTCATAATTCTAGATAAGGTTTTAAATATTCTTAAGACAAATTAAGCTATAACTCAGTAAATATCATCTATATATATTCTGACGGAATTTAGACACTTTCCATGCTTTCATAACGCGCACATTAATGCGGACCGATTTGTTCTTCGTCACAAAATTCAATACAATTATTGATCAATCGGAAATTTTATAACACAGAAAACAAAATATGAGGTAATTAAAATCGGATAAATTTACATTATACACTGTTTAACATGTAAATTGCAAACTGTGAAACAGGTTCCCTTTTGTTCAACTAGACCCCAAAGCTTTCACAGTTAATTGGCGATAATTGTTGACACGCGTCATACAAACATATTAACAGAACAGAACAGAACAGAAACTTTATTTTCAGACTTGTACAAAATACATCGTCTTACACAATACAATCAATTAGATATATTTAAGTATAAGTCACATTACATAATAATATCATAGTCAAATGTTAGCAAAGCATATGTTTTATTGCTTAATTAATAACTCACAAAACATATCAAAATATTAGCAAAGCAAAATGTAATCTATAATCAAAGTTAGACATTATGCAATCAATACTTATTTATCTACGCTATGTTACACAGAGGATTAACCGTTAATTCAACGATGTGTAACTGATATTCTCATAGCCAATGCTTCTCGTATTTAACAAGCAAGGTTACGTAAAAAAATCTTATTATCACTATTTAATAATTCTAAAAATGTATACATACTAGGTCTAACGTAGTAAAATTTCTTAATATATTTCTTTCTAAGGTCATTGTAACAAGCGCAAATCAAAACAAAGTGGTACTCATCTTCAATATCATGTAAGCTACAGTATATACAAAAACGTTCATTTCTTGGTATCCTATTTGAACCATAACGACCAGACTGTATAAGTAACGGATGTGCTGATAATCTTATTCTACTAATATAATGCCTAAAGCTACTAGGTTATAAATCTAATAAGATATTTTTCATACTGGAACACAATTTTTATATCCTTGTATAACAATAAAACAGGACTATTTACAATATCAGCATGCCAGCTTTGTACAAAGGAATCAATTAAACGCTGCTTGAATTCTAATAAAAACAATTTACTACATAAAACCCCTTGATTATGCCATACATACATAAAACCATACGACGATAATAAATCTTTAACACTTGAAAGCCAATTTTTCTTACCATTTATACAGTCTTCGTAAGATATATTATAAATTTCTTTAAGAATGATATTGTCTGTTTGTAATAATTTAAGCCAAAACTTTACTATCCGTAAATATCTTGTAATGTATAAAGGATAACGAGCCGGCTCACCATAAACTGCTGCATTACATGTATTCATTTTAACATTAAGTATTCTTTTACAAAATTTAAGATGAATTCTTTCAATTTGTTTTGACTTACTATTTCCCCAAATTTCCGAGGCATAACAAAGAATAGATCCGACAAACGCATCGAATAACTGACATAATATTTTGGGATTAAGTTTATGCTTTTTACAATTTAAGTAAGTAGAACATTTAATACTTTTCAGGCTTTTCCTATTATCTGCTCCTGATTTATAACAAACGTACCCGTGTAATTAAGAACAACTCCAATGTAATTATAATTACTAACAATTTCGAGTTTTTCACCATTATACAAACATTCCTCATTAGATAACAACCCACCACGTTTTCTAAAAACCATTGCTTTAGTTTTATCAATATTAACATTCAGACTCCATTTTTCACAATATGAATAGAGAAGATTTAAACTTTTGTTAATCTGTTCTGGTGAATCACCCAAAATTACCATGTCATCAGCAAAAAGTAGAAGCATAAGTATAATATCATTTAATTGAAGTCCGCTGTTTATATCCTGCTCTAAGAATATCTCGACGTCATCAATAAACACAGAAAACATTATCGGTGAAATTACCTCTCCTTGACGGAGGCCTACAGCATATTAAAAAAAAATCAGAATAACAATTACAATGTTTTATACAAGATTTAACCTTATCGTACATATCTCTAACAATACGTAGCAATTTACCTCTAATACCAATATTATATAACTTGAGCCATAGGGCATTTCTGTAAATACTATCAAAGGCCTTTTTGAAATCCACAAATACACAGTATAGACGCTTTTTCTCATTGAGGTATTTTTGAATAACAGACAATAAAATATACAGGGCACCTACAGTTGAATTCCCTTTCCGAAAACCAAACTGTGCATCAGACAACAAGTTATTTTGTTCACAATAATCCATAATCCTTTTATATAAAATCGTTGTAAATAATTTAAACAAGAAACTAACTAGTGTAATTATTCTATAGTTATTAACATTATTTACGTCTCCCTTTTTAAGCAGTGGGATAATAACACCCTCAGTCCAGGATTCGGGAAGAAACCACTGTCTAATATACAATTAAAAATATCGCAAATATGACACCCTTATATATCAATTAATCAATGAAGTATTCATTTAAAAGAAAATCATTCCCAGGAGATTTATTCCTTTTCAATGTTTTAACAGCCGCTGTAATTTCTTCAATAGTAAAATGTCTATCTAAAATTTCATCACCATTGTCAGTATTATTAAAATCATACATTGTTTCAAAATTTCAGATTCATCATTTGTTAACTGAAAAATGTCGTTTCCAATAGACGAAATGTATTCAAAAAATTCATCCACTGAAATATTATTCTTCGAACTAGTGTTATGTTTAAAATATTTCCAAAATTTTCTAGGGTTGGAAAAAACGTAACTTTTCGATTTCACGCTCCTTTAAAGCAATATGACGTCGACACTTTAATCTAACAATATGTTTATAATTGCTTTTTAAAAGACAAAGCTCATCCCTATGTTCATACTTTTTTACTCTGTTAAAGTTACGTAAAGCATTTAAATATGCATGTTGTGCCTGCACACATTCTTGGTCAAACCAAACCTTATTTTTATCATTAAATGTATTACAAAAATCAACACTATTATTTTCACAAAAAGATTTACAAAACAAAGGGCTAGCTACATCTTGTATCAGACAGGTAAAATCAGAAACTAGCGCATTAATAGATAATTTACTACACATATCTTCTATTTACTCAGCAGTCCATTAACATTCCAGGAGAGGAGAATTCCAAGGTTATCCTCATCGAATCCCCATCTTCGGTCGTCTCGCTGTGCTTTACCATCAATATACAATAATCGTAAGATAACCAAGCCCGTTGTCCCTTTGTCCTAGCCTCCTTCATTTTTAGGGATTAACGCTCTTCTCTTATCAATCACCTCCTTTGGGAACTGCTCGTGAACAAAATACTTGGAATTGTCTAATGATTTCCAACTTTTACGAACCAGTTCTCTCTCTTTAAACAAATTGAATTTTGCCACTATTTTTCTGTCCCTTCCTCTTTGCCTTTTGCCCATCCTATGCACTCTTTCAAATTTTAATTGAGCTACTAAATCACTAGCAATTTTCATCTTTTCCACAAGAAATCCTCGCAATACTAACTCTGTATTTTCACTTTTGCCTTGCCGCACCTCCTCAATATTTCCAAACACCAAGTTATTTCTCATTGATTGAGATTGCGCATAGGTTAAATCATCAATCAACTGTTTACTTCTTGATTCTAATTGCTCAACTTTTGATGAAAATAACCCTAAGTT